GCAAAGATTTTTAAGCTGAGTTAACTTGGATATGGACTTTGGTTCTGCCCCTGAGATGCTGTGCAAGTAACCTTGGAAAAAAATTGTTTTTATCCCTCTGGGCTCCAATTTTCTCATATATAAATAGGATTGCCATCAATTTATCTGCTTCCTATGAAGAAAATATGCATCAGGGACAGAAGGGGTTTAAGCTTCTTTCTGTGATTCCTGAGTCACTTCTTGTTTTTTCATGATGTGCTTCTGCATGTACAAAGACATCTAAAAAGAAGTGCACACCTGAAGTGAAATATCTTCTTCTATCACCTGCCTGGGTTGCTGGCAGAAAAAGAAATCCTGGGGGGTTAAGAAAAGAAGGTTTGTCATTTATTATTGTATAAAACCAAACCTTGGCAGATTGGTTCTCATTCGTAGCACACAAAGATGCTGAAATAGAACATATTTAGTAGATTTTTCTGCTGGATTTGAAAAAGCCACTATGTACTGTTTGTCTATCCAAAGTAAAATAAAAAAAGCTATCTAAACTATAATCCCCAGTGCCAATATAGTCTTCTAAATTATTTGTGTCTTACAAATCTTTTTTCCTTAATTTTAGCAAAATGCAATTCAAACATTACAGGCAAATAAAGGTCACACTTTTAAAAAAATAATAAACAGCAAAAGCGTCAATATTTCCCATTCATTAACAATTTGCAGTACTTGTGATTAAAATACTATAATTTCAAAACTATCATCACTACTGACTGGTTTGGAAATTTGCTTTGCTGCAAGTAACAGAAACCCAGTTAGCAATGGGCTAAACATACAGGTGGCTTATTTTTCTCTTTACTGGCAATGTCATCATCCTACATGGGTGTCAATTAGTGTCCCACTTCCAATACAGCTCACTGCTAATGGCCTGGGAAAAAACAATGCAAGATGGCCCAATTGTTTGGGCCCCTGTCACCCATGTGACAGACCTAGATGAAGCTTGTGGCTCCTGGCTTCAGGCTGGTTCAGTCTAGCCCACTGTGGTCAGCTGGGCAGTAAACAAGTGGATAGAAGATTTCTTGCCCTCCTCCCTCTCAGTAACTCTGCCTTTCAAATAGATAAGCAAATCTTAAATAGAAAAGCTATCTGGACACAGATGTTGGGCACAGAAATTTAGAAGCCACCTAGATGACAACCACAACTAATTTCAGAACACCTGGATTGGAGTCCCAGCTCAATCTTACTCGTATCCTTTCTTTTTTTCTCTTCCTTTCTTTTTCTTTTTTTTTCCTTGCTTCTTTGTTTCTCTCTTTTTCTTTCTTTCCTTCTTTCTCTCTTTCTTTCTTTCTTTCTTTCTTCTTTCCTATTTTTAAAATTTATTTATTTTTATTGGAAAGGCAGATTTACAGAGAGAGAGAGGACACAGAGAGAAAAATAGCTGATTCGCTCCCCAAGTGGACACAGTGGCTGGAGCTGAACCAACGTGAAGCCAGGAGCTTCATCTGGGTCTCCCATGTGGCTGTAGGGTTCTAAGGCGTTAGGTTGGCCTTTACCACTCTCCAAGGCCACAAGCAGAGAGCTAGATGGGAAGTGAAGCATCTGTGATACATACTGGTGCCCATATGGGATCCCATTTTTTACAAGAATTTAGCCACTGAACCACCATTCTGCGCCCCAGCTCTGCATTCCGGCTTCCTACTAATGTGTATTGCCCAAGGTAGCAGATAATGGGATAGGTACTTACTTTCCTGCTAATCACATGAGAGACTCATTTTGGGTTCTGTTCTCTTGGCTTTTGCCTGGCCCAGCATCCGCTGTTGTGGACATTTGGAAAGTGAACAATAAGAAAGGAGATCTCGGGCCTGTCATTGTAGCCTAGTGACTAAGGTCCTCACCTTGCATGCGCCAGGATCCCATATTGGGCTGGTTCATGTTTTGGCTGTTCTACTTCTCATCCAACTCTCTGCTTGTGGCCTGGGAAAGCAGTCAAGCATGGCCCGAACTTTGAGACCTGGCACCCACGTGGCAGAACTGGAAGAAGCTCTTGGCTCCTGGCTTCAAATTGGCTCAGCTCTACCATTTGGCCAGTTGGGGAGTAAATCAGGAGATGGAAGATATTTCTGCCCCTCCTTCTCTCTGTAAATCTGACTTTTCAATAAAAATAAATAAATCTTAAAAAAAAAGATAAATTTCTCTCTCTTCCTCTCTTTCTCCCCCTCCTCTTTCCTCTTTTCTTTCTCTCATCCTTGTTGTCTCGCTTTGTGTGTGTGTGTGTGTGTGTGTGTGTGTGTGTGTGTGTGCTCAGTCAAACTTTAACAAACAAGTAAAACTTTTAGAAAACACCAATCTAAAGGAAGAGACTCCTTGTCTTGAGTTAGTGATTCAGTTATTTCATTTCTGGTACCACAGTTTTTTTGATTTAGTAGTTAGGAAATGACTGACACAATGACCAATATCATCATATCCAAGCTCTAGACAGGAAAAAGAAGTGACTGGAAATTTCTTTTTTATTTCTTTTTTTTTTTTAAGATTTATTTGTATGTGGGAGTGTCATAGAGAGGTGGGCAGCGGGATCATCTATCTTCTGGTCCACTACCGAAATGATTATCACAGTTGGGGCTGAGTCAGGCCAAAGGCAGGAGCTAGCACTTTCATCTGGGTCTCCTATCTGGGTGCAGCGGGCCAAGTGCTTGATACATCTTTCACCATCTTTTCTGTGGCTTTTCTCAAGAACCTTAGCAGAAAGCTGGATCAGAAGTGGAGCAGTGGGGTTCTTCTAGCACCCAGACAAGACTAGTGGCCTCACAGGAGGAGACCTAGCCCATTAAACCACAGCACCTGCCTTTGGCTTTCAGCTCAAGAGGAAGAGGAAGATTTCCATTCAGAAACATTTCCCTCTCTCTCACCTTTCCACTACCAACCCACTCCACCCTGAAGATGCCGTATGTGTTTCTGTGATTTCTCACATTTAACATTGAACATTTCTCACATAAACCCAAGAAAAATGAAAAGGAACTTCCCTACCAGGTTTAGAACCAAATTAATGAATGCGACATTAACATATCCAAAAGAAGACAGAAATCTAAAAATACAAAACAAACGAAAAATTGCAAGTCTTTCCAAAAGCTATGTCTTAGTCAAGATTTTGTTGTATAAAAACCCTACTACAGGCCCGGCGCGCTGGCGCAAGTGGTTAAAGGTCCTCCCCTTGCACGCCCGGGATCCCATATGGGCGCCAGTTCTATCCCTGCAGCCCCACTTCCCTTCCAGCTCCCTGCCTGTGGCCCGGGAAAGCAGTCGAGGACGGCCAAAAGCTTTGGGACCCTGCACCCGCGTGGGAGACCCGGAAGAGGCTCCTGGCTTCGGCTCGGCATAGTATCGGCCCGTTGCGCTCACTTGGGGAGTGAATCATCGGACGGAAGATCTTCCTCTCTGTCTCTCCTCTCTGTATATCCGCCTTTCCAATGAAAAAATAATAAAAATAAATCTTTAAAAAAACCCTACTACAAGGAGATATAAAATTATTTGTCTTTCCAACTTTTATAATAGAGAGGCTAAGAGAAAATACCAGTGTGAATGTCTGTTGAATTAGTGAATAATATTTGATATGCTATTATCAAGGAACTGCTTGTTCTAAAGTCTACAGACTAAGGTAAATAGACCTGTTATCTGCTGTAATCTGTACTGCCATTGGAAAATGACATTTTTAAATTCTCCTTTATATGTACTTCAATATTGATGTTAGGTCACTCAATCTTATTTCCCAAAAGGAGCCTTTGAATCCTTTCATTGTTGGGTCTGCTCCTAGGAATAGAATGCTTCTGCCTATTATTACTGCCCCTACTGGGGCTCAAAATATCCTCGGTGGTGGTGAGTCATTTATGTTTAGAATATGATGGTTTTGCATTACTGAATCTATTAACAAATCGTTTTACCAATGTGGAAGCAAAGTGTCTGTTATAATTGTCAAATCCTTAACCTAGTGGCTGGTAGGTAAGCCCCCAAACATTCTGGAGTACTACAGACATTCCACATGCAACCCTTATTTTCCTTCCTTCCAAATTTGGAGATCCGTTAGACCCTTAGAGCCATTTGGTTATTCATTCCATCTGGAAACAGTAGAGTCACATATGCTCTGTTTGTTTGCCCAGCTTTTCTCATAGGTTGATTGTGTCTGCCAAACTATCACAAATATTAATAAATTTTAAAACTGTTGCAGCTCAATCAGTGGGATACTGAGGAAGAAAATGAAGGGTATATTCAGCCCTACATGAGTATATCGAGCATGCCTGGTTTGTAGGCATTTTTTAGTCATTGATAATACACACTTACAATTGGCATGCTTTTCTTTACACCATGTGTCAGCAATTCTAGCCAAGAGTCGCAATCAAATACTATCCTTACCAGAGCAAACCACTCAGACCCAATCTCTCCATTTTCAGTATGTACTGCTTCATATTTTTCTCTTGCAAAGAGATGGATAGCTTAAAGCTTTTAAGAGCCAACACAACCTAGAACATTGTATAGAGAAGCAAAATTCAGGTTTTCTATTCTAGTTTTTTTTTAATCACTTTTGCCTCATTAGAGGCATCATAATTCAATTGAAAACAGAAGAGAAAGAGAGAAAGGAACATAGTTTAAGTGAAAAGTAAATTGAACATAAAGATAAAAGTAAAGACTAGTTTGTTGATCATCTATAGAATATTTTCACATTTAAACTTTTGAATACAATTCTTTCCCAGAAGGAAAAAAAAGGTGAAAGCTCCAATCTGAAATTACATTTATTACTGTGTTCTTTATTTCACAGTGGATATCATAGTATTTCTATTTTGATTCTGAGCTCAACATAAGCATAAGATAACCCTTTCCATTTGATCAATTTGTTTGATGTGAATGTGGTTATAAGACAATGTGATAAACCAAATGCCTGCTACCATTCCAGTGCTTGCCTTTGCATTTCATTGAGTTTCAGAAGAAAATAACAATAAGCAGAGATACGTTTCTCAAGTGTAACTTATCCTTTATTGTCTCAGGCATTTTTGGACAGAAACTAGAAGACACTGTCCGCTACGAGAAGAGATATGGCAACCACTTGGCTCCGATGTTGGTGGAACAATGTGTGGACTTCATCCGACAAAGGGGGCTGAGAGAGGAGGGTCTCTTCCGCCTGCCAGGGCAGGCCAATCTGGTGAAGGAGCTTCAGGATGCCTTTGACTGTGGAGAGAAGCCATCATTTGACAGGTAGATATCTAGGGTTTACTATATTTCCCTGAGGAATTAAGCTGAGCTAAAAGGAAGCACTGAACTGAGGTTGCATCACCTTGATAAAAATGTGATAGAATAATCCACTTTTATTAAGTACATAGTTGAAACTGGGACACCTTAATGTCTTTCTCTTCCACACTTTTTTTTTCTCCTTCTTACTTAACACATTCTTATTTCTTCTTTTCCTTTGGTCCTAACTCAACATAATGTTAAACTTTTATTTCAGAAAAAAATCCTTTAAAATAAGAGTCTTCATTTATTTGTTTTTATTTGTAAAAATTATCTTAGTAAAGAAACATTTAAAATATTGCTGAGTCGAGATTTGCACATTGGCAATGCAAATTAAATAATTATTTTTAATGATAGTGAAAATGTTACAATTGTAAATATGTAGCTCCTCTTTTATATAGAATACAATATTGAGGAAACAAGAAATACAGCATACGGGCCAGTATCCAGGTCCAGGGAGTTCAGCTGATACTTGCACCACAGTCAGCCCATATCAGAGTGCCAATCTGAGTCCCGCTTGAGACAGTTGGTATGCAGTTCCCTGCTAGTGCTCCTGGGAGGCAGCAAATGGCAGCCCAGCTGCCCTCCCTGCCTCTAATGAGGGGCCCTGATGAAGTTCTCAGCTCCTGGCTTTAAACTGGCCCAGTCTAAGCTTTTATGAGCATTTGGAGACTGAACCAGTAGATGAAAAAACTTTTTCTTTTTCTCTTTGCTTTTCAAGCAAATGATGAAGTCATTTTTTTAAAGTTTAGCATAGTGAAATTTCAAAAATAATTGCAGGCCAAGAAAAGAAAATATAAAACATGCAGAAGTACATTGGTTAAGACTTCATCATTGTTAATGTTTTGTGAATTATCTCCTTCTCTTCATATTTCAAAAACTGAATAGAAAAGGAATCATATATAGTAATATTATTAAATATTGTATAGCAGAAATTTTCTATATGGGTAATTGAAAATTGCTCGTTCAATTCAGATTAACCTTTAAAAAGTAGATTAGTTAATAGCAACATAGAGTTGCAGAAAGAGAGAGAGAGAGAGAGACCCATCTGCTGATTTACTCCCAGATGGCCTCAAGAGCTGGAGTTGAACCAGGTTGGAGCAAAAATCCAGGAAATTCATCCAGGTCTCCCACTTGGGTTTAGGGGCTCCAAAGTTTGGGCCATCTTCCTCTACTTTCCCGAGACCTGAGTCTGAATTCCTAGGAGAAGCTGTAGCTTTACTGACTGTAGCACAGTGCCCATCCCTTTGATATATTTTAACATTTTTATCACCAGCAGCTTCTGAAAGCATTATCTTAATAGCTGCTATTTTACTGTACAGACATATTAAAAACAATTCCAATATGATTGGGATTCATTTGTGACTTAGATACTCAGTTGATTTTTATCTACACTTTTTTTAACTTATTTGCTTAGGAGAGATTCTCTTACTGAACTTGGTAGGTAAGAATTATTTGATACCAGGATTCCTTATCTGAAATACTTAGGGTCAAAGTGTTTCCAACTTTAAGATGTTTCAGATTTTGAAGCGTAGTCATGTGCATGCCACCTAACATCTATGTCAACAACAGACAGCATGTGTGATGGGGGTGCCATGGATGTCTGCCTGTCACAATTTGTAGAAGTTCACATTCATCTAATAATGAATTTCTCAGAATGAATTGTTACCGTGAAGAAGCATGCTATTGTACTTGCACAGACATAATGGTGCATCCTGGAGAAGGGCTCCAAGTCCATAGGTGAATTTCATGTATGCTTCATAGGTGCCTTATACACACAGCCTGTGAATAACTTAATACTATATTTTAATAATTTTGTCCATGAAACAAAGTTTATGTTCATTGATCCTCCAAACTGACAGGCTCAAAAAGCTCCCGATTGTGTTGCACTGGGAAGTTTAGGTTTTGGGGGAAAAGGGGGCGGTCAGCCTCTTGGGAGGAGAGTGTTGCTTTGAGTATTTAAAAATAACTGTAAGAGCTTAGGTAAGGTGTGAGCATTCGTCTCCAAATTGAGTTCATCCTAACTTCTGACTAGGAGTAAAACACTATGCAGCTTTTATATAACATGTGATCCTGATTATTAAAATGTGTGTATTTTTGTGTAAAGCACATCATGCATCAACAGATGGAAGAAAATATAACAGAAGGTACGTGTTGTTGAGAGAGATCATGAAGTGCTTAGTCTTTTGGAACAAAGTCACACCCTTCAATGGACTGTAATTCATGTTTCACTGGCTTTGATCTTTTTCTAATGGTCATTTCTTTCTTTGAAAAGCTTTACCAGACAGGGCTATGGACTCAGGCCACTATAGCTTCTCCAGATTCCTCTCCAAACTAGGAAAGTTCCTTCTGTGTGCCTCCTCTCTCTCTCTCATACTATCTTTTCAGAGGCAAATAAAATAATTCAATCTTTCACTCGACATTTGGCCCGGAAAACTCCTTAGCCAGGGCCAAAAGTTCATCAGGAATATGTTCTATAGTTCAAGTTACTGCATCTGACAGCCTTTTCTCCAGCGCTATTTTGTAAGCAGTTATCTTTGCCTCGTCTCCAAGAGCATTTTCCCCCACTGTTTTGCTTGTCTGTCCAGACCTGGGCTGGTCCCAATGCCAATACAGAAACTGTGACTCTTCTTGGGAATAAACTGCTCGATAACAAACAACTCTAAAACAGTTTGAGGTTTTAAAAAAAGATAGTAACCTCTTTAGATTCTGCATTTGGACAGCACCTGTCTATGTGGCCCTTGGTAGTTGTTGCCACAGTTTAGTGTAGCTGCTGTTTTCCAGAGAGCTTTACCTGCAAGTCTGGTGCCTAAACTGGGGCTGAGGAAGGAATGTGGGCAGGAGTGAGGGTTGGGTGGCAAGTATCTGTATTATGAGATATGGGGAAATTTCATTACTTTATATAAAAATAAACTTCTTAAAAGATGATATTTGATGGCTGCTCGAACAGCTCATTTTCTCTTTTTTATTTACAATCTGGGATTTCTCAGGGCTTCCTTCCCTGCTAAGCATTTCTCAATATTATTATGAGATACGGTATATTACTATGTCTCTGTGTTGCAGACGTAGAAATTGAAATTTTAAAAGACAGTATCATCCATATAATAAAGGACACGTGAATAATTTGAATCTAGTGTATTTGACTTGTGTTGTTCTTAATTCTTATATGATACACATTGAACAAAGGGCCATTAGAAGTCATACATATAGTTAAAGATAGGGAAATGATTTCTTTTATGGTGTAAGTATATTTCCCAGCACCATTTATTGAAGAAACTTTCCTTTCTCCAGTCTATAAGCCTATTGCCACACTCAAATCTCAGCTGCACATTCGTTTGTGGATTTATTTCTTTATTCTGTATTCTTTTCCATTGTTGGTGCTCTGCAATTGGTGTTGGCACCATGCTGTTTTGGTTATTACAGCTTTCTGGTATTTTTGAAATAAAGTTTTGTAATGCCTCCAGCTTTGTTCTTTATACATGAGATATTTTGTATAGTGGGATCTTTTATAGTTTAAGAAACTTTAAGAGCATTTTTTCATATTTCCATGAAGACTGTCACTGGTGCTTTGATAGAAATTACATTAAATTTGTGTATTATCTTAGGTGGTTTTGGCTTTGTTTTTGCTGTTAACAGCGTTAGTTCTAACAGCACTAGACTTCGATGTCTTTCTGTTTTTCTCAGGTTCCTGTAATTTTATCAGTGTTTTACAATTCTCATTATAGAGATTTAACTTCCCTGGTTAATGCAGTCCTAGGTATTTAGAATTTTTGTAACTGTTATAAAAATGACTCTTGATTTCTTTTTCAAAAGTTTTGTTATTGATAAATAAAAAATACAGATTTTTTTTTCAAATGTGTATTTTGTATACTGAACCATTACTAAATGTGATCATAAGTTTAACTGATTTTTTTTTTTGCCAAAACCTTTATGTTTTCCTGTAAATAAAATCTTATGTTCTGAATGCAGGGATAATTTGACCACCTTCTTTGCTGTTTGCGAGTATTTATTTATTTATTTTGTCTAGTTGCTCTGGCTAAGATTTTTATTACAGTATTGAATAAGGATAGTGAAAATGTATATCCATATATTTTCAGATGTTTGATTTTTTTTGTTTCTATTCTATTCGTGTGATATATTATGGTTATTATTTTTGTATGATGAGCCTTCCTTGTGTCCTTGGTGTGGATTTTGGTTGATAATAGTATACAGTATTTTTAGAATTTATTTATATATTTATCTATTTATTCGACTGTTTGTATTTGAAGGATGGAGTGACAAATGGAGGAGGGAAGGATGGGAGGGAGAGAAGGGGAGAGAGATCTTCCACGTGTTAGTTCAGTCCCTACAAGGACACATTGGCTAAGAGCAGTAATAGGAACTCAAGTACTTGGAGCCTCATCTGCTGCTTTCTAAGTGTGTTGGCGAGGAATTGGATCAGAAGCAGAGCAGTTGCGACTGGAACTGGTACCCGAAGCAGTGGGTTAGTGTGCTGCACCATAGCGTCAGCCCTTTTTCACATGTGCTAACATTTGGGTGAGAATTTTAACATCTGTGTTTTTCAGGGATGTTGTGTTGTAGTTTACTTTTGTATCATGGTCTTGTCTGGTGTTAGTATGTGGGTAATGCTGTTTGGAAGTTTGAAAGTATTTCCAACCTTTCAATAATTTGTAATAATTTAAGAATTGGCATTAGTTGGTCTTCAGATATTTGGGAATATTCAGTAATAAAACCATTCACCTTGGGCATTTCTTAAAATTTGGAAACTTTCTATTACTTATTCAAACTCATGACTGATTATTGCATTGTCCAGACTGTTTATGTCCTCTTGACTGTGGTTCAATTTTGGTAGATTGTATGTGTCCATACATATATTCTTTCATTCTAGAATATCCAGTTTGTATTCTTTTAAGTATCAGTTCCTCATAATATAATAATACATTCATTGTGATACTAATTTGATCTCT